CGCAGGTCAGGAAGGCAAGGTGACCTTTAGCGCTCTTCCAGACCCAAAGAGACAGCCCGTGTCTTCTTAGTCACACAGGGCGTCCCTCAGGACAGAGAGTGGACGGAGAGGCCCAGAGCCCAGAGAGAAGAAAGAGGATTCTCTGTCTGCTCAGCTGTTAGTCTTTATCACCTCCTGCTGTGGAGTCCTGCATGGCTGCACAGTGATGTAAATCTCCTGCAGTTCCACAGTGCGTGCACCTGCTCAGGAAGACAATGCCTGTGCCCTGCAGCGTGGCTCTCATCCGAGTCTGGAGGAGATGACAGATCCCAAACTGCAGCACGTGTCTCCTCCTGGCTGCCCGGCAGCGGGCTGGCAGAAGTGGGGATGGCAGCCACCAGTTTGGTCTAAGCAGCAAGAAGGCTTAGGTCCAGCAGGGCCAGCGTGGTGGTTGTGGAGCTTGAGTGGCAGCGAGACACTTGGGAGAAGGATGCTGGCTTGGGATGAATCGGAGGATGTAGGCTGTGCCCAGTCAGGAGATAACCTACACATACTCGAGATGTCTAAAAGTTGCCTTCTAACTGCAAGGTAAAGAACTTTTTAAGAAGGAGAGTACTGATGATAAAGTAATATGCATTTCAATATGGAGATGCTGGGGTACCACTGGACTAGGAGATAAAATGAAGTAGCCTAATATTTGGCTTTCGTTGACTGGTGCCAGTAAGGAAGCAGCGCGGAATGGAGGTTTGTGGTGATGAGCAGGTGCTGCAAACAGACTTGCTTCTCGTTTATAAAATGTGAGCAACCTCTGAGAAGGTCCTGAGCCAGCCAAAACCTCCGTCTTTCTTCCATATGCCAGGCAGTTGCTTATTCAGAAAATTCAGAACACAGGGAACCAAAATATCTTTCTGTATAAAATGAAGTGAAGGTCTCAGCCCAAAGCACTATGAATGGGATTTTCACCTGCATGAGTCGCAGAGGACACACACAAAATACTGACTGGGAAATGCCCATCTGACATAGAGCAGCACCCGCGGGGTACCTATCAACTCTGGCTCTTGCTCATTAGACACCAGGTGCAGGCTCCCCGCCCCAATCATTGTGATCACCAGATATCACCTGTGGGCTGCGGGGAAGGTGGTGCTTGTGATTCTTCTGGAAAAACCACTTTAAATGGAAATACAAGTGGGAGACATGCATCTTACGGAGTTTGAACTTGGAACTTTTATCCTTACCACCACTTAATAGTTGCAGAATATTCCAACATAGCTGTGTGCCTGCGTTTAGGGAGCTGTTGATGGTCTTACTCGCTTTTCAGCCTTGGGTTGCAAACAGTGCTATGAAGACGATCTTTACACATTAGTCTGTACCCTTGCTCGATCACATCTCCAGAGTAAACTTCCACAAGGCAAAAGGTCGACGCATTTTAAAACTCTTATGGATATTACCAAATCACCCACCAAATTATTGCAAGATATACACCTACTGGTGGCTGTATAAATGTGTGTTCCCGTTACCCCTCATCGCTAGGTATTACAGAAGGTTTTAATCATGGTTAACTGGTTCCTTAAAGATGAACACAAGGAATTTCAAAGCCATTCCCAGCTCATGTTACGTTATGTGGTAGTTTCAGCCTTGGCTTGTCTCTGTGTGCAGGAGATTCACGTAGAAGAGAAGCTGGACTTTCACTGTTTTCCAGAGTAAAACCAGGGTCAAGACTGGAGGTTGGACAGATGGAGGTTTTGGCTCTAAGAACATAAAACCTTTCAAACAAGTCCAGCCAGCCAGCAGTGGAGGGGGCCTGGCTGGAGAGATAAGAGCTCCTCCTCGAATCTGGAAATTTTCAATTTCAGGCTGGATGAGCAACTTCAAAGATGTTCAAGAAGAGATTCCTGAGTTTAGTTACAAGGTCACTGCTTCCCAAAGCATAGTACCTGGACCATGGTATATATATGAGATAGCTTTAGGTGATATACACTTTTGAAAAAGTCTGATTTGGTGCATATTCATTTTTCTATGTATATACTATGTTGCTATATTACTAGCAAATCATACAGCTTAATATACTTAATATACAAAGGTAGTACTGCTGAAATCATAAACTTTAGCCAGAAATGTCCTTCCTGACCTCAGTATCTTTTCAGAACTGAGATTCTACGGTTCTAAATTTAATTTTGATACTGTTAAAGTTTCCGCTTGTAAAAAGACTTCAAGATTCCAGGCGGCTACATTTACTGCAAGCCAATTGTGGTACACAGCACAGAATTTTGAGTATTTGTAAGTTGGTGTACAGGTCAGAGCCTTTGAAAACAGTTCAAATCAAGAGCCCTAAGTCCTCTGTGAGAACCTATCCTGAAATTATATTCAACTTCATATTTTGGGGACAATACTAATATTTTAGGTAATCATTTGCTGAGGACCAGCTTGATGCAGTACAGACCAGGCAACAGTTGATATTCATACACTGGAGTGAAAATAGAGAGTCTGTCCTAGGCTTCCATGACTTGCGGTGAGACCCCCCGGCTGGCTTGAGGACAGATCAATCTTTGAGCTAACGGCCAGAGCTGAGACTAGCAAACAGCCTGTGAAGTTCTAGTGCCTCAAAGCAAGATAACACGCCAACTGAGGACTCTGACTTGTGCAAATCCCATCCAGCTCAGTAGTTTCAGTTAGCAGACAACCAAGTTACTAGTTAAGCCTGCTGTGTTCCTATGTGCTTTTCCAAAAATGCACTGTTCCTCAATTCTTGAGCATTAACCTGTCAGAAGTTTACTCCCACCGTTTCCCGAAGGCCAAGAGCACACCCCCAACCATCTTGTGTACCTCACGAGGGCCAAGGACACCACGCCTCATGGTAGTGTATGTATTTTGTAATTATAAACTTTTTGTAATTATCGTGTATATATTTTGTCTGTGTTTTATTCTGTCCTTGTAGCTCCGAGCAGGAGATCAGTGATACAAGGCCAAGGCCCTGATAGTCACAGCTGGCAGCGCAGGCATCAAGCCTATATATAGCAAATGAATTTCTGAGGGAAAAACACACATGAAAAGTTGCTAGTGGCATCCCCCTTACCCATTAGCACATCCAGTCTTGGCAGCGGGATTTATCTTCATAGTTCTCTATGATGATCATAAAACTATGATCCAGTTATATATTTAGAATATAATATAAATGTCTGCACTGAAAATCAGGTGAATATTTAGTTCATGTATAAATTGTACATGATGTTCACAGTGCTATAAACAGACACTTTTTAAAAAGAAAAAGCTCAATGTACATTCAAAAATTATTCTCTCACCCAGCCTATGCTGATCCCATCAGCATAGAGTATCTAATAGTCATTAAGTGAAATCTATCAACTGATAGAATCAACAAATGCCTCTGTGTGGGTATTTTGTAATAAGTCTATAGTTTTGTTTCTTCTATGTAGTTTAAGCTACAAAGCCTTTCTGTCTGTATCTCTATTGATCTTCCTTAAGTGCCTATACAAAGATTTCTAGAGATATCACACTCCTGTGACCCGTGGACAGCTTTCCACCAAGTACAGATTAAAGTATCATTTAAATGTACTGATGTTCATGTAGAGACCAGCACTGTGAATTAGTTCACAGAACTGAGCACAGAGCATCTTGGAGAAAACCGAAATTCCCCAAAATAACTTAAGTGCTTCATCATCCCTGACTCACACACCACCCCTACTCACCATTTTGTGTCACACACACACTACCACACCTCAAGCAGAAGTGAACACAGAGTGTAAGGTCACTGTCACTTTTAGAATTCAAAATGAGAAAATATGAGTATAGAGATGAATTCATCATAGCCACTCAGATAGGATACATTTTAATTGGGAGGAAAAAAAAAGATTCATATTTACAATTCTCTTAGTAAAATTTTCTATTTCTTGCTCATAACACATTTTAATTTACCCCAGAAAATGCATTAATTTTATTCAAATGTCTTTCCTAAAATATAAATATTTAAATTAAATTTTTATAAATGTGGAGGACATAGTTTCTGTTGGCATTCACACGGATATCAGTCAGTTCCAAACTTAAGCGATGATGAAATATTTGCAACTGTGATTATTTTAATTTGTCTATAAATATATAATAGAATCTTTGCAACTTAATTATAAGTGATTAACTCATACTTCATGTAGTACCGAGCACCTTAAATTACATATTGTTGAATTAAGCTATTGGCATTAGTATATGCATTGTAATGTGTTATTTACAATAGACAAGTAGAATTTTCTTGTATAACAACATTCCAGTGATTTTGAAAATATATAGTGAGAGAATATACTGCACAAATGCTTCAGTGATTTCCTACAGTATTTGAGCTGGGATTTCACTTTTCAGTATTGTAGAACAGGAAACGCATACAGTCAATATCCTCAAGCTGCTGTTTTTTTCAAAGGGTTGTTTAAAAAAACAATAAGGGATCAAAAATGATCAAGATATGCTATATACGTGTACCAAGTTCCCAAAATAAATGTAGTCATTATGTATAGCAAACATACACTTCAAACAAAACCAAAAACTGTTAGCTTCATGAATTGTTCTTGTAGGAAGAAAGGAGCTCTGAAGGTTCATCCGAGGGCTGCGCCCCGGCTCCCCCTCCTGAAGAACCACAATGGACTTGAAAGTTCAGAGGCAGCCAGCAGCCATGAACTCTGTTTATCATTTTTAAACTCCGCGTTTCACAAATATTTCTATTACCAAACCTCTATCCCACCTGGCCCTCAGCCAAAACACCACTCAATCAAGGGCTCATGTCTTATGAACAATATGCTGAAGAAATGATTGATTTAAAATAAAACTCTGCAACTCAATAAACATGCATGTCCGAGGGAACAACTTTGCATTCTTGTAAACAAACTCACTTTTTAAACCTCTTTGCATAGGAACTGGCTAAAGTACGTCCTTAAAACACAGGTCTAACAGAGTACATTCATCTGTGTAAACCGCAGGGGAACGTGCTGTTAGAAATGCCTATAGAAATTGCCGAGCTACTGTTCAAGGTTTTAAAAAAAGCAACTTTAATATCAAACAGTGGGTGGTATTTTTACTGAATGAATTGTGAGAGGTGATGTGCTCTCCATTGTCTCAAAATATTTTTCTAGAAAAATATCAGGTCATCATAGTATTTCCCTGGGATTTGCAAAGAACGGCAGACACTATCAGTAAATGTGGGTATAGTGAAGGGCTTACATGTAAAACCCAGCATCTTCCAGAATTAAATGAGACTGCTCCGTGGCTTGCTTGGAAACTCATGCATACAAGCACAGGGACAAACAAAGGGTCATCAGCTGCTCATACTTCTCAAAACACCTTGATATGGGGATAATTCAAAACCCTCAACCGTGTTTGTTGTGTGTGTGTGTGTGTGTGTGTGTATGTGTGTGTATGTGTGTACATATATATGTATGATGACAATCTTTGAAAAAGCAGAATTTGCTTTCTATAAGTAAAGCTATCAGTCTTGGGTATAAGTCAGCATATTTTGTAACTGTTGCCCCAGAATTAATCATCTTTTGTGCACACAACTCTTTAGCAAAGCTTTGCAATTTAAGCAATGTACTCTGGCTCCGATTGTGCCAGCTTATAGCTCAGATCAGTATCTGATGCTTTATTTAATTCCCGCTCAGCATATGCTAACAAGAACACTTTGGAGTCATTCTCCACTGCCGAAAGATAATTCACTGAGAAAAAAAAAAAAAGTAACAGCTGATTCCTACTTACATGAAAAGTGGGCTTTTGTTTGCAAAATTTTTCTTTCCCTATCAGAGAAAGTCAAGTCAACTAGAATCAGGAAATAAACTGCAGTAAGACAGTTGATCCTTGTTACTTGGGTGGGGGAAATAGGTGAAAATATCCATTTCCCATCTATTCAGCCCTTGCTTACCTGGGCAAAGCGGTTGCCTAGAAACTGGTATGATTAAGATCTGCACCTGCTGTTCCAACGGCCTTGTCCTTGATTGTCGTTATTTAGAAGCTATGTTATGTACACCCAATCACCTTCACCTTTTCAACCTTTTCTGTTCTAAGAAGTGTTACTCTGATGTATCGCATGGTGTTTTTTAGGATGCCCCTTGTACCCCTCGTGGTTGCAGATGGAGGAGCCGGGGGCATCACACCTGACTCCTGCGACCTGAAGCTCGCCCTCACATGCTACATGTGGTGCACGGCTCCCGACAGGTGGTATCCGATGTCAGTCTTCGGTGGCATCACAGGCTTCCGTTCTAAGGTGAGTTGCCCCTCTGTTCAAGCCACCAAGCCAAGTCTTGTAATCTTAGCCGACAGGAAGGAATGAATGATGAAAACAATTGGCTTGGGGCAGGAATGAAGGTCCAGTTGCTGAGATTTGAAGAGAGAGAGAGCGCATGAGAAAGTTTAAATGAATGCCCGATTCAGAACAGTGATTTACACATCAAACGAATCTATATGCACTTCCAGCTTTTAAGTGTTAACTGGAGCAATTATGCTATAAAATCATTGCCTTGCAATGAGATAAAGGGGTAACTTTGAACTTGTTCCTTACATCTCATATGTACTTTTTTCTCAGATAAACTCTGTGTAATTTATCTATACCAATTCCATAAATATTGATGTTGCCCTTCTTGGTTGTAGAAACCATTTATTTTTGGTTCCACAATAGTGATATTTATGTGGGCTGTAGTATAGCAGGAAGCAGTATTAAATCTCACACCCGAAGATTAGTCTGAGTCCTGGTTCTGACACTTCTGAGACATGTACTCTTGGCCGCATCACTTAAAATTCTTCTCAGTCCCACCACCACACGGGGTAATTAGAGTGCCAACTAGATACTGCATGCGACCCTCCTTGCAAATTGTGAACACAGAACCTACACTAAGCAGCTGTGTCCTCATTGGTCCTGCACTCTTGAACTGTCATAAATATGAATGCCACAGTGACGGCAACTTCTCAAGTCCTACCCCTCTCAGGGAGGTCCCCACAGGACCCAGTGCATGCACCGTCAGAGGGAGAAAGTCCTGCAGAAGTTGACTTTTGTCACCTGACCTACTTTAGGAATGGGAGGGCTCATTCCGAGTTCTCTCCCGCTGTGCCCAGTTTTGTTCTAATGATGACACTATAAGAACAACGAGCATACAAGAATATGTTACCAAGACTGTACACACTGTAAATCAGGTACTGTGCTACCCATTCTGTTATTTCATCCCCTCATAAAACCCCTGTGGGGCAGCTATGGTTTTCTCCATTTTTATATGGAAAAGTTAAGACTTTCAGACATAAAACCTTTCTGAAATTGCAGATCTTGCCGTAAATAGAAAGTAAGGACTCAGACATAAATCTGTTGGATGCCATAGGCAGGGTTTAACATGTTTCAGCTGCTTAGAACCAGCAGTGGTACATGCACAACTGTCCCACTGAGTGGCTTGTATCACTCAATAGGACTGTCCCATGCCACCCGATGGGACAGCCATGCATGTAGCAGCAGTGGTTCAGAGCCACCTACAGTGAGACGTATGGATTATGGTCCTTTTGCAATCGCGTTAACTAGCATGGAATGTGACCTTCAGGAGGGACATTAAAGATTATCTCCTTCAATCCCTATATTTTATGGAAGGGGAAACTCAGATCCTAAGAAATAAAAGGATTTTCCCAAGACAGCCGGTGAGTGGTTTGCAGACTCAAAAGGAGAACCCAGGAGAACTTGACCCCCTCCTTACAGTGTGTGCTACAACTCAGCTCTTCCGCCTTCCCCACAGCGAAGGCCTGCTGCTGCCTCCTGGGCTTCTTCACTGTGCCCCGGGGACTACATCTGAACTTATCAACCTAATGTACTAGTGGTGAAAAAAAACCCAGTCCTTCTTAAATCTTCCAAGTCAGGTTGTAATTACAGGCAGAAAGGCTGAAATTTAGACAGAAGTGATTTTCCTCTTGGGCAAAAATAGCCTTGAATTTTTAAGCCAAGGATACAACGGGAGACTGATTCTTGTTCTTTTCCACATTGTCAGAGAGTAGTCACCTTTAGGAACAAGGACGCAGCTGAGTGATTGATAGAGCAGCACGAGAACTAGGGGAATGGTTAGTAAAATGGGCTTTCAGAGCACTCCTTTATTTCCAAACAGGTGCTTCAGCTGCACTGCAAGACTGATACACATAAATAAACAAAAAAATTCCAAGAAAACTCTGTGGCTGCCTTGCAAAGGTTAGACAGTGGCCGGTCAGAGTTCTCAGAAACTGAGCAGAAGGAACTGTCTGCCATGAGACATGGACTTCCTCACGATTGCCATGGCCACAAGCCTGCTGTCAGCACTGCTCTGGGGTCAGTACTGTCCCTTGATGTAGACCAGTGATGTGACATTTTGAGGTGAAAGGCCCTCAGACTCTGTTAAATGTATACGCAGCCCTTTCCATCCACCAGCCCCTTCTGGGTGAGCCCTCATAGTCTCCAGAAAATTCCCAACATGTCCCATGGGAGAAAAGACAAGTAGCTGTGGGCAAAGGGGTAGACAGAGGAGTGTAGACTTTCAGACATAAAACCTTTCTGAAATTGCAGATCTTGCCGTAAATAGAAAGTAAGGACTCAGAGATAAGTCGGTTGGATGCCATAGGCAGGGTTTAACATGTTCCAGCTGTTATCAAGGGGGCTTCAACAACTGTTTGTTGACTAATCCAGTGGCCAGGGAGGACCTGAAGAGACCAGTTCACACAAAGTCAAGGGCCTCTTTGAAGTTCTAGACTTGACAGCTCAAGTGAGATGCTATGACTTCCTGAGAAATGCCAAGAACTCCAGGTGTCTGAAAGAAGAAAAGTGCCCCCTTCCTGTACTCTGTACAACTGAAGGAGTGGGCTTTGCATTATGGCAGGTAGCAACAATCCCAGGAAATCGTGCATTGAAACACAGGGGCTATCTGCACTGGTGTGAGAAGTATATTACCTTACTATATACATTTACTAACTTTGGTGAATATTATTGAACATTCATCCCAAACTCCTGTGCACTCGTCTTTCTCTTTGCTTGGATAGAGTCGATCAGTTTCTTTCTTTTCTTCTCCTTTGGGCCTTGTCCAGCACCCTTGGCTGTCACCCTTTTGCTCCTTGGACACCTCCAGGATGGCAGAAAGTGACTTAGTTTTTCTCCCACCATTCCAAACACTGGGTATGATGCCAGGGTTATAATTCCACTGGGTACTCATTGAAAATGAATAGCACATTTTTTAAGCTAGTGAGATCCCATTTGATAAGAATTTAATGCTAACTTTGTACAGGGTTTTTTCCCTTTGATCCAAATATTCATGTGTTTCCTAATGAAAAATGAGACCCAAAGAAACAGCTTGAAAACATTGAATCTGATCATTGTTTTTCAAGGATCAAATGAAATGTGAGCCTCCAGGTACTTTGTTAATAGTCAAATGTAAGGCAGCATTATGTTTAGGAGTCATTGTAGGTATGCTGAATAATGAAATATATGAAATCATGCTGTCAAAAGAAAAGTACACTTACAATCTCTCCTTCTTTTCCTCCAAAATCTAAATACAGCATCCGGATCCCATCATCTGAAGACATTTTGAGCTTCTCATAAGGGGACTGTATGATTGTCTTGGGAAAAGCACCCTCCTGTGGTTCAGTGGTAATAGTAAATCCATTCTCATAATGCACGGTCAGGTGACACTCCTGGTTTTTGTAAGTGCAAGCTGAGAGACAAAGAGAAGTGTAAATGGTAGAAATCAATCCGCCAGTCCATTTCCCCACACACTCAATACTTCCAGTCTCCTTAATCTCAGCACCTAGCCACAGATTTCTTACTAAAGTACACAGATAGTAATTGTTCATGAAGATATTGTCCTTGGGTTGATTTTGATACTATAATTTAACTCCATGAGTGGAACTGAGGGATTCAAATGTATGAATTCCCTTTGTTGGCATTCTCTGAATGTTTTCTGGCTTCTAGCCCTTCGCTGGCCATCTGACAGCACATTGGTGGCAGACTTGCCTTTTTGTGGTCACAGTGGCTTGCTGTGAGCCAGAAAAAAACAAACATTTGATTTAAATAAAGTAAATCACCTCTGACTCATCAACGTCAACACTCCCAACACACACACACACACACACACACACACACACACACACACTATATTGTCATGTCTGTCACTGGGATAAAGAAGCAAGCATTCTCGCATTATGAGCTCAGGAACAAGTTGTTTAAAAGTAATGTAACTTTTGTTTTAAAAAGGCCTAACAAAGTTTGTTTCAGACATGGAAAGAGGGTGTCTTAGGTACTTTTCTCACTGCTGAGACGAAATACCTGACACCCAAAGTTAAAAGAGGAAGGGTTTATTTAGCTCACAGTCTGTAAAAGTTTCAAGCCACAGTTGGCTTGCTCTAAGGCAGGGTGGCATGGGAGAGGGGCATCACAGTCCATGACAAAGCAGGGCAGGCAAAAGGCAGCAAAGCAACAACCAGCGGCAGCAGAAGCAGTAAACGATGGCAACAGTTCTCTTTCTGTCTCTCATATTCCATCCAGGCTATCTCCCCTTACACCCAGCACTCACTCCCAGAGCGGGACACCCTTAACCCCAGAACTGCAACATTAATGCCAGCGTCACATCCTTAATCCCAGCATCACATCCCTACATTCAGCTCCACTGATGACTGCATGAGGCTTTAAGGGGACACCTGCATACACGCCATAACAGGGGGGCTCTTTCAATTTCCCTAAGATCTTAGGTCCTGGAGAAGCTGCTGCTGCAGACAGATGCCAGGCTGGCACTTTCTCTTAAGGATGGTATGTCCTCCCCTGGCTCTGTGTGGCATCCAGGGACCTCAGCAGCAGTATCCACAAGGCACCCTCCCATCCCGAGGGAAAAAGGCAACCCCTGAACAAGATGAGTGCCAGCTATTATTGGAGAATCCCACTGTGGTTAGGAAGAGCCCAGCTCTTTAAGCTTCTGACCTGGACAGCAGGACAGCCACCAGAACTCTAGCTCCTATCTGGGAAAAGCTGTGAATATATCATTTAAAACCCTTACCTGAGAGTTCTAGAAAAGCGTATTAGGAGTGAGACTAGATTTTGAGCCCATCCTGGCAGTTCAATTGGCGCAGGCCTTGATCTACGATTGAATGAGTTTAAGGGAAATCTGGACACTTTCTTTGCCGGAGGGATGGGAGAAGTAATGAGAGCAGTACTGACTGAGAACTGCTCTAGCACCATTAGTCTTGCTCAGCTTTCTAAACCACCCTGGATTTAAGGTGAGCTCAAACTTTGGAGCAGGGATATTTCACCTAAGATCTTAGTTAGAGAAGTGAATAGGTTGACTTTCAAAATTCAAGTTCATTCCAGTCTGTCTTATGTTTCTTTCCCATGCTCCAGCACTTATGATATGGCGTGGGATTTGACATGACAAAGGGTTTCTCAGCTTCCTTCCTCATGGATGATGACAGCTCAGTGGGGCAGAGCCTCAGAGTTTGGGGAAAGAATTAGGGAATCTCTAGTGCTCACAGAACAAGATGGCTTTTAATCAGAGCTTCCGTGAGAACATGTGTCCCTCCCCCTGATTTACTTCATCATCTTTCAACTTCTCCTAAGCGCTGACTTCTCCCTAATGTGTACTCTCTGAAAGACCTGAGTCCTGCACAGAGTCTGAGTCTTGTTCCCTGCCACCCCTCCAGTCCAACTGCGATCAGGACAGAGGCACTGCGAGAGTGACGGTTGCCCATCTTGATTCCCTTTTTTCGATAGTCTTTACTCCTACTACCTGCAGGATATGCAAAGGGGCACTGCATATACTTTCTCATTTTCCCTCTGGGCTTGAACTTTAAAGCTATGCCATCAGATATTCTGAATTAACTGGCTGTGATTACTTTTAATTCCAGTTGACCTTAAACGGTATTTATGGCCTTTGTATAATGAAATCAGTTATCTAGAGAGGTTCTCACTCTATACAGGATAAATTGAATACATTACTATGGTAATTGAAACCCTAATTAAAATGGTAGCCCCCTCTATCTATCTGAAGGCATCTTTCAAATTGTAACTGGGTTACACTTTGGTCACTCCCATAATTTCTTCTGTGGTATTACTCAGATAGCTTAGTTCATAAAACTATTTGTTATTCTCCTTTGGTCAGTCTATGAATAGCTTCATCATTTTCCTATCAAGCTAGAGTTTGGTTATTAACAGAAAGATTTCATAAAATTTATACAATGCAGACTCAACCAAATCCCTTTGGACGTCTTCGCCCTTTCCTAGAACACTCCCAGCATTGTTGCATGGAGTCTGAACTTCGCTGGTGTCACACATATAAATTTATCAAATTTAGTATTTGGGTGGTTTGGACCTCTTCCAACTCTCAAGTTCAGAACTCATCTTTCTTGCAAGATAGCATAATTATCAGAAGAGAAAAACTTCAGGAACACTCCCTGAAAGGTTTTAGTAATGATGGGGAACACTTGAGGACACAAGTTAGTTTCAAGATACTTATAAAAAGGCACTGATTACCCTGGAAAATACCCAGCAGTGATTCTGCAAAACATCTGCTTTTTCATGTTTGTATGAGTAGAGGAAATTTGGAAAAACCCTAACACAAGGCGCTGTGTGTCCATCTTTGAGAATACTCCTGCGTGACGAGATGTTGTGCGCTCGTGGACTCATCCACTACTCAAAGAATTGTCCATGAATCACAGTCATCAGTGGCACCTAGAATCTTGTTAGAGGCCAGTTCGTAGGCCCCATTCCAGGACTGCTGAACTTGAATCCCTGAGGATGGGAAACAGACAGCCACCTGAGATTCTTGAGGATGAAACTAAGAAGCTTATTGTTGTCATTGTTTAGTCTTTTCAGGGCAGCTAACATTTGGAAACACCATTTTTAAATGTCTTGTGGAGGCTGGGGATATAGTTCAGTGGCATAAGTGCCTGTCTGGCAAGCACAAGGTCCTAAGTTCAATTCCCAGTACCAAAAAATAAAAGAATAAATGTCTTGTGGAAAATCTTCCTCAGAACAGAGCTGTACAGAGGACTTCCTGCCACCATGATACTCTTCTACATTCGTGTTGTCCAGTACAGTAGCTACTGGACTCATGAGGTTACTGAGCACTTGACATGTGGCTAGGGCAGCTGAAAAACCATCAGACTTTAACTGATAATTTAAATGTACATAGCCCTAAAGAGGTTATTATTCTGGGCAGCACAGGTCCAGACATGTACTAAGATTGCCCATTTGATTGTCTTGAAAGCCACCTAGGGGATGCACAAAGAACAGCTCTGAGTGTATGGGGGAGGGTCACAGGTGTAATATCTGACCTCTGGCCCTTTCCTCTCTGACTCTGACCCCTTGTTCTGCTTCCTAGATGCCATCACTGAACATCTTTGTCCTGTCCACCATTCTGCCACGATGTTCCCCTTGAGCTAGCCAACCATGAAATGAATCACCTCTGCTGGGCTTCAGACCTAAAATGTCCTTCAGTAGTCTCATGTGTTCATGGGCGGGGCTTCGGAAGGTGACTGGGTCATGGGCACTGTATTAACCTGTGGATTACTCTGGTGTTGAATTCATAGCGAAATGTGCTGTTCGGAGCTGGAGTCTTTCTGGAAGGGGTGTGTCACTGGGGATGCACACTTGGAGGTTATATCTCCCTCCATGGCTCCTCCTTCCTCTGTCTGATCCCTGGCTGCCATGAGGCAAGCAGATTTCCTCTGCCATGGACTCCCACCATGATGCTTTCGCATTGGAGACCATGAACAGAATCCCACACACAGAATCCCACAGATCAAACCTCCTGTCTTTCAAGTTGTGGGGTTTGTGTATTGTGTCCCCATGACAGGCCAGGCTCTTGAGGCTTCAGTTAGGAATGAAGACTTCATTGGCAGTTAGATTAAAGGCTATGCATGTTACAGTCTGGAAAGAAAGTCTACATTTTGCCCATGTTCTGACACTTTGCAGGGGACCGAGATTAGAGACAGTGGACTAACTGATCTAGTGGAAGAAATTTCAAGACAGGCAAATATTCAAGCTGTAGCATAGGTTTTGCTGTTTGCTTTAGCCAAATTTACAGTGATAATCAGTAGTACAGAGCAAAGAAGAGATATATGAAAAGTTTTAATTTTGGCCCAAAAGGGACCACATGTAAAGTTGGGAGCAAAGGAAGTGTGATTGCTGCAGAGATTAGCACCATCAATGGAAACCAAATACTTTGTATAGGGACAAGAAGAAGGATGCCTGGAGGGGATCTCAGAAATAAGCAAGTCACACCCATTGCAGGATCAAGGGTGCAAAAATATTAACCTTTCATTTGTGAAGAAAGTCCCTGGTACCCTGGCTCAAGAAGGGTTGCTTAGGAAATTAGTTCTCTGGAATTCTTTTTATGTACTCAGCCATCCAGATATTTGGAGGTTGCTGCAGCCATAGTCCAAGGGGGCCTGGCTACAGATCCTGCTGACAGCAGGCCTTTGTGTCATCCACAAAAGCTGCTCATGTTATGGCAGCCAGAAAACAGAGAGTAAATGGTGGTGGCAGAGAGGGAGATATACCCTTCTAGGTCATACCCCCAGTAGCCTGCTTCTTCCTACCTGACTCCACTTCCTAACACCAAGCCAGCAGAAGCACCCTATAATCCAATCAACTTCCTCAAGTTTTGACTCAGAGGAGAGGACTTATGGTTTGTCTATTGGGTTTCAATCTTGCTTTGGTCCAGTTCTTTCTTATCCTATATTCTTTCCTTTTCAAATGGAAATCTTTACCCTTTGCCATTATACTTTGAAATATGTAACTTAGTTTTTATTTTTACACAGGTTCATGGCTAAGAGTTTGCCTTGAGTCTCAGAAGGCATTTTGACTTTTGGAATGCTGGAAGTGTTGAGACTTTAGAGAAAGTATTACAGTGATACCTTGATTGTCAAACTTGGTTTGTTCCAAATTTGTGTTCAAACACCAAACTGTTTGAGAACTGAACATATTTTTCCCATAAGAAATAATGGCAAACCAAAATCGATTCTGAGGCCCAAAAATTACAGTTATAAATTTATTTTTCCCGGACTTTAACAAATTTCACAATGATTTCTTTCTTTAACTCTATCATGGCTCTCACAGTTTTTCTCTTAGCTTTATTACTGAATCACTAACTTTCTTTGGAGCCATGGTTATAATATCTTATGTAAAAAACCACAATTGTGCATGTTTTAATGCACTAACACAAGCACTATATGTTGCCTGGGTAAGAGTAGCACTTAGACTGAAGTGTTACCCTTTTGTGTCTGTGGTGAGACATGATGCATGACTCACTCTTAGTCTGTACAGGTTTTTTCAAGTCGGGTTTTTGGTTCTACTATTGAGCAAAGTTACTAACACCAAGTATATCTTTTTCAAAAGTTTGTTGTTTGAGAAGTGGAAAGTTCAGACTTGCAGCTATTTGATGACTGAGGTATCACTGTATTTCATTTTTGGATGCACACAAGGTACTTGTTTTTTGTAAGGTGAAATTATTACTTATTATTGTGTTTATTTTGATACTAAAGAGAGTTCAAGTAGACATGTTTGGGTGTCAAGCTGCAAGGATTAGAATGTGACATTTAAGGCTGTCAATTTGATTGATTTGGGAACCGCCTAGGGGATTAGTGAAACACCCTTCCAGGTGTATCTGTGTGGGTCATGGAGGTGTGACCCTGGGTGCTACATATGGTCTCTGGTCCCTTCCCCTCTGGCACTGTTCCCTTGCTCTGCCATGAACTGACATCTTTTCTCTACCATCCTTTTTCACCACAATATTTCTCTTTAAAAGCCAGCTAACTATGGACTGAATTCCCCAAAACCACGAACCACATTAAACTTCTCCTCCTCTAAGTTATGGGAGTTGGGTATTTTATATCCCAGTGACAGGAAAGCTAACTGAGACAGGAAATGATAACTATAAGAACAGCAACTAAAAATAATACTTACTGAGGACAATCCTCAGAGGTGAGTCCTACTGTTTGTATTATATCTATGAAGTAGGTATTATTTTCCCCTCCTTGGAAGTGAAGAAAGTAAGATTAAGTAAGTGATTTAAACAGAAATAAAACTGGAATTTGAATCTAAATTTTACGAATTTAAAAACTCCTCTTATGACTAATAACCTTGTGCTGTTTCCTCAGAGACAGAGAGAAATGAAAAAACAAGAAGCAAACTTAACAAAATCAAAGCTAGAGTTACTAGAAGACTATTGCTGACTACGCTCTGACTATGTCACATGGTGCTCTGTGCGTGTGTCCATAGCAGACTGGAAGAGGTTGGTCATGGATCTCAGAACCCAAACCAATGTGCTTTAGACCTCAGGACTGGGAACAATAGCACACACACTGTGAACTGTGTGTTGTGTTGGTGGATGAACAACAATGGCTTAAATGTGGAGGCCTTCTTAGCAAATATGCAAGATTTTATAGTATGTATTTTGTTTGTTAACATTACTTTAGACTCAAATTACTTTTTTTAGTCTCTTATTTTCTTTGCCCAATTAAAAAAGTTAAGCAACCATATTTCTCTCATGTATTGACATCTGTTTATCATCTATCCATTTGTTTTAGAGAGTGGCATGAAAATTATTCATCGCAGCACCTTAAACAAAACTGGTGTTTTCTGGTTTCCTGTTCCAAAAAGGGAGGCCCATGTCTCCGTAGATGCTGCAGGATGGAGCAGGAACTTCAGGGTGACACAGCCTAGCGCTAAGGTCATGGTCTTGGGCAAGCTACTTAACCTTTCTTTGGAATTCATTTCCTGATTTGACCAGATGACAAGGGAGTTGTGAAGATCAGATGAGCCAAGTAGGGTCCTGGGGTGTGTGGCACACATGCATATACAAATAAAAAAAATTTACAGAATGTGAAAACAATACCAACATTGATATCTCTACTCCATTCTATTTCCTTTTTAAAATGTTGGCCTTGCTTCAGTGAGTTCATCTGGAATACACACAACATTTTTTCTCACTGTTTGGAAAAAATCCCAGACATTATATAAAATGCCCAGCATGCAGTAGGTGAGTGGTAGAGTAGGTAAATGGTTTACTGCTGAGATTTAAGTGCCTCTAAAGCCCAGTGACAGACACTCTTTTGAGACCAGGGTAGAGCAGAGGGTGTGTCCTTCTGGTAATGATGTGACACTGATCCCCACACCTGGCAGTACTCACCAGTGGTGACTTCAGCAATGAGCTCAGCCGCATTGTGGCATCCCTGTACTATGCTCCTTGTCCACTGGGAGAGATCCCTGCTGACTTCTGCCCGGAAAAGATGTGTTTCAATTCCTTGCTTGGTACCAGTTCGTGTTGCAAAGGACAGATCCATACCAGCTTGGGGTGAGCCCTTCCCCGGACCTGAATGGACTAGCCTGGAGAGAGAAAGATCACCATCAGAAGGGACACTACTCTATCCCTGCCATATCCCCCAGCAAAAGCCCAGAATTGGTGATCTGCTCTCATTTTTGTGACTTGAACCAGAGGGTCCATGATACCCTACTTTTCACCATGGTTGTTCCATCTTCCCTTCAATGGCGGTGTGAAATTAAGATGCATCCAAGGGTTGTGCACTTGGGTGTAAATTCAGAGGATTTTAACTTGTGCAAATTCAACTATCCTTTCAGTCAAAACAGAAAAGAATAAACGAGAGAAGATAATGTAAATGGTGTGCCACATTCTCCCCTTCCATTCCTGAGCGTGTATGTATCAAACGATTCAGTAAGGGCAAGCGCAGGCAAAGCAAGTCTCCTGCAGTGAACCGAGTGTGAGACTCAGCTCCCCTGCGGCTCTTGTCCTCTGAGAGGATCTGGCTGCATTGAGCATACTTCTGGGTGTGCTTTCTGTACTACCTCAGTACACTGCTCTTGTCGGAACAACCTCCAGATAACCTGGAATTCAACTGAAGAAGCAGCAATCTGTTTGTCTGCTAAAACTAGAGAAAACACTGCAACGCTAGACTTCTTGGGACATGGTAGAGATCTACATGTTAGTGGGCATGGAAGGGATTTTCAAGAGATTTTCCTACCACGCAGTGCATTCACACTGACTTTAGAACTTACCCTTGGCATAAAATGTGCCTGCTACAGCAAATAATTTTCTCAAAGGCCGGACTTAAAGCATTAAGAATCAAAGTGCTCTGGACACCACCTTGAACACGCTGCTCCGCGGGAGGTCAGCCTGCTCCGGGGACAGACTCTTCTATCGCTCATTTGCAGGGAAGCATACGTATAATTTGATAACTGCTACTTCCCTCCAGGGTATTTACATTTTTATCCTTATCTCTTAATACAGAAAGCAACACTTTACCACTTGCTAGAGAAATGCCAGGTGTCTGTCCACACGGTGCATGGGGAGTTATTTTCTCGGGCAAAGAGCTTATTACCTTTAAATTAAAAATAGGTTGAAAGAACTCGAAAAGCTTATTTGTCTTGTAAACCCAAATGCTGTAGAACACCATTATCAATGGAACAAAGCCTGTTGTAGCCTGTTGAACTGCTAGAACGAGACTGTTGGATAATTCTGCGGAGTTCTCTTTCACTTATAAAGATGGAATTTGGCGTGAAGTGGTTCAGTGCCAGCTCAGAGAGAAAGGTTAGTTGGAAAGCCTTCGGCTGGGAGGTTCATGAAAGACAGGGAAGCTCCACAGCTCTCACGAGACCAGCGCCCAGAGCGTGTGAGGGAAGGGGCTGCTGGTGTGAGCTCACGTGCACGGATTTAACACGCAGGGCTCGGGCCATTTCAGCCAGCAGGAAGAAGGCACTGAGGAATGAGAAGTGAGTGAGAGGGACAGAGAAAAAGCTGAGGATTCAAAATCAAGTAAGACTAAAGAAAACGGAAAGTATCCTCTATAGCCTTATAGAACTTTTAGAGGGCTGGAGGACCAGGTAAAAAATTATTAGGAGAAGGTATCCATGGGAAGCAAGAATATTGTTTTCTTAGTTGCTCAAGCGTTTTTATACTCAAATGTGCTTAATTGTGGTTGCTTTAAGAACCACAGTCAGCTTTCCTTTTTGAAAACCTTTACATCTGTATCAGCTGGACACAGGTGGCAGGCGGCGGGTTCAGCTGAACAGGGACAGTTTGGGAAGAATAAAGCACTGCACGGTAGAGCCTCATTCATTCTGTCTGCCTTGTGTTAAAGTGTTTTTCTGAATCTCCGCCTCATAAAATAGTGTTGTGAAGATTATTCAACCTGTGTACTAAGGCAGCACAGCAAGCAGCGTGTGGTTTACGCTCGGTAAATATTTCTCCTCTTTACACCAACCCTCAGTCTTCAGATTTTAAAAACATACCAATTGGTTCTCTTACAAGACCCTTGCCTGGGCTAACGTTGTTCTTTTCCATGCCCTTAATTTCCATTCAGGTGACTTCAACTCTGTCCCATTGTGGGACACGGTAGATACAGAAGTAAACTGAGAGAAAGGTGGGCAACACGGAGAATGCAGCATGCGTCTGCGTGCGTGTGCATGTGTGTGAATTTCCAGCTGATATTTATTTTTCTCAAGAAGAGACCGTGGTTAAAATGGAAGCCAACAAAAGGCAATCGCAACTGGAAAACGCAATTTGTTTGAAAATTCACATTTCATAGCGCTAAGGATGAGGAATGAAATCACTCACTGGATGTAACAGGTATGACAAAGCCCAAATCAGGCCGGCACATGCCGTGTAGCTGGCACTCACCAGAGAAACCCCGCACGGTCCTGGAAGTAATGATAAAAATAAGCCCTTGGAGATAAGACCATTATCCCTTTCAGCTCATCATTAAGTTGTCACTGATTAAAAATCAAAGGAAAAGGAAAAACTGATGTTTCCCCTAACCAAGTGTGAATGCTGTAATATTCATATGAAAGAACAGGGTGGTCTGCCATCTAAGGCAGAGCAGCCATGTGGATGATTTTGCCTTCTTTTGAGCGCGCCAATATTGGTAGCGTTCTGTGTGTAAACCCTAGGGTCAGAGCCCAGGGCTGTTTCTGTGGCCTGCTGTGCCTGCTGGTAACAAAGGGACACTTTCTCCAGATCAAAATGGACAGAAATATGTCAGGTATGGGCCGCATGCATGGGTGCACATCCTCGGGATGGGGTATGACCCAGACCTTTGTGATTATTGTATAAATACTGTTTGTAGACCTGGACTATACATATGCATATGTACAGATACAATTCTGAATATGTAACAGAACTATGTAAAAGAAAATCCAGGAAACGAATGCATTTAAATGCTGAGCAATTTTGTAGGTGATCTTCTTTTCTATATTTTTAAGAAAATTTCCTCTAATAAACAGAGAGCACACAATTTAAAGATTAGCTTTAAAAAGCCATGAGACTGAGGCGAACTCAAATCATTTTTAGCACCAGAACTTTGGGACTCAAAAGACCTGAATTCTGGTTCAGCACATGCTCAGTGTTTTGCTTGTGGTTTAATGCTAGTGGCAACTCCGTGTTGGAATCCTGAGTCACACAGCGGTGGGCCCCTGCATTTGCCTGTGCCTGGGTCATTCTCAACTGCCCGTGCCCAGCTCCTGCAGGCGGTGACTATGAAGAGCCCTCCCCAGAATGAGGTCCACTGGATCCACCACACATGAAGCCACCACTGGTGGCCTCACGAATCCCTGACAGTAGCCAGCTGGCCTCCGGCAAGCAAGACCAGGACAACACTGAGACCTACGACCTGAGGCGACTGGGTCTGCTTGGATTCAGGAGTATTCTGAGGTGCCACAGAGAAGCATCCTGTTCTGTTTCTGTCCCCACTCCTTCCTTCCAACTGAACACCAAAGCTCACAAACTCCTCCACTTCATCGATCACTTCAGCCCTCACCTGTAACCAGCTAATACATCCAACTGATATTCCTGGGGCACTATGGACTGAACAGCGTACCCCACAAATTCACTGTTAAATCCCTACCCCCGATATGACTACATTTGGAATATAGCATAGGGCAATGAAAGCTAATTGTGGCTGTAGGGTGGGACCTTCACCTGCAGACTTTCACCCATCCTTTAAGAACAGGAAGCAGCACCAAAGACCTCAGAGGAACGGCCCTGTGTGGGTGTATGAGGACAGCCTTCTGCAGACTAGGACAACAGCCCTGACCAGAAACCAACGCGAAAGCACACTGATCGTGAACTGCTGTCCTTCAGAACAGTGAGAACTAAGTTTCTGCTGTTCAAGCTTCCCAATTGGTGGTGTTTTTAGGGCAGCCCACTCTATGCACGGTCTATACAAACTCAAAGCTCAGCGTGAGCAGAGCAGGCCAGGCCCACAGCTTGCAGAGCCACAGCTGAGAAGGAGAGAATCTCTCCCCTTCAAATTCCCACAGCCTCTGTCCTGCAGGCTCTGCCCCAGTTGTCAGGAAATTTCTTCCTGGGATATGGAAGTGAGTGAAAAGTAGCCAGCAGCAGAGGACCAGTGGTAAGTACAAGCCAGGGTGTGCTGGGTGAGCGAAGACTTGCTCCTTCTCACTGGACAACCTGGTCATTATAACATCTTCCTCCAGAGAAGGAATCTGAGCCTTCCAGAACCTTCCAGAAAAGATACAGTTAGAAGAACAGAGAGCAGGGAATTCTGGCACAAAGAACCCCCACATTTATCAAAGCATTTGTTACTGCACGCCTAGCAAGAGTTTGGAAACAATAACTGCATTTGTTCTCTCTTCCCCAAAGAACCGATTTGATTGTCCACAGTAATACACAGAATGATACACAGAGATGTCGACATTCACCACTACACCACTTTGAGAGTGCTGACCAGGAGCTGGCTGCATTAACAACCATGACATTTCAATGATAGATCAAGGCTCCTGAATGAGAGAAGCTCAAAATCCTTCCCTTGTTTTGGTATGTGGGCCACCATGTTGACTGGAGAGGTAGCTACTAGGAAGAGCTAGAGAAAAAAAGGAAAAGTGAATAATTCAGTGTATAAGTGCTCTGTGAAACGTTCTCTTGAGATGAATTTGTACTCGCATAGCTTCGATTCCCAGTCAGCAACATCATCTTAGGACTGTTCTCCGTAGCCTGCGCACTAGGCTTCTCCATTCAGATGAGTCACAGGCAGCCCAGTGTCAATAGCTTTGAACACAGTACCACATGAGCATCTTAAGATTTTAAGAACCTAATACTTAGATTCTAAGTAAGCAGCACTGAGGTCCCCAAAGGGCCATGCCCACCACGGAGGGGAGGCAGGTTACATGGAGCCAAAACAGTATTCAAAAGAAAGAGTTACTTAGGCTGGAAATCGAGGGTCTAAATATGGAAAGGTTTCTGAATAACACCAAGTACAACATGAGCTACTCTTTAAATGTCACAGGGCAGGCAGAAAAAGGAAGAGGCATCATCCTACGCCATTAGGCCAACAGTGATGTTGACCTGGATCTGA